GTCAGTGATTGGTTGCTAGATGACGTTATGATATGTACAGCGTTGCCAGCATAAAAACGGAGCACATCATCCCCCCCCCCCTTGAAAACCAAAATAACTAAGTGAAATATAGCTAATTACTATGAAAGACCTGGAAAAGGGCGGGACGCCGTCACTCTCTTGTAAGACGGTTCTCTGCGAGATCCGTTCGTCCGCGTCGTTCCTGGAGCCTTTGTAGGCACCACAGAATCTTCCAGCCGATGTCTAACAACAGGACTTTCATCTTGTGACACTTGTACTGGCGACGTCAAAACTTCCTGACGTTCTTCAACGGAATCTGGTCCAATCGTAATTTGTGTTGGCGTTGCCGAAGCTTCTAGGCGATGTTCCTCAACCAAGTCTGCGCCTCCTAAAACTTGACATGGCGTTGCCACAGCTTCGCAATTCTCCCCGACGGAATATTCGCTTTAGTTGCCTGAGACTGTTCTCCTGGCTGACTGTTCTTGATCTCCAGGAATGGGTAGCAAGTGTAGCAACCGTTTACCTCTTTCAGTGACGCATTCCTAAGGTACAGCCACCAGCTTGGAGGCATTCCAGCTGTGTCAGTCTTCCAGGCAAAAAGTGCCTGGACCCAACTTTTCTCTATTTTCAGTGGTCGGGAGTATGAGAGCTCTCCCTTACTGACACTTGTGGGTTTATGGACCCGTACATAATCTCCCTCCTTGAATCTTGGGAGTTTTGGCCCTTCTTTTCACGTCTGTATACTCCTTCGTCGAGCGCTGTTTGATTTGGACACAAGCTCGTAACTGTTCCTTTGCTGTGGCTGGCTCCAGGAAGAGGTTCTTTGATGGAAGGCCAACGATGTACATTCGGATCCTTGGTTGGCGACCGTGAAGGAGCTGAGCAGGAGACACTCATGTGGTCGAGTGTGGGGTAGACCGATATACACCCAAGTAGTCCACGACGGCTTCTTTAAGCGGTTGTCCTTCCAGAACTGAAACTTCAATAAAGTCCTTCAGGCTTCTGTTGAATCTTTCGACCAACCCATTGGCCTGCGGGTAGTATACCGACGAGACACAATGTTTGATCCCTTTTTGTTTAGGAAGTCTTCAAAAAGACTCTACTTAAGCTGCGGCCCGTTGTCTGTCATGAGTTCTTCCGGATAGCCCTCCCGACTGAACACGCCTTGTAAGAACTCTATCACCGCTTGTGACGTAACCATATTTGCAAAACAAACTTCCGGCCACTTGGAATGGTAGTCCACAAGGGTGATGACAAACTTGGGACTTGCGGTGGTCAGGTGCAGTGGACCCACAATGCCCATAGTCAGCTTCTGCCAGGGCTTTTCTGGGAGAGTAACCGGACGTAGTGGTGCCACGACCGGTTTTGCTGACTTGTCAGCTGATTGGCACACATGACAGCTTCGCACGGCATACTCCACCTGCCTGTCCATCCGGGGCCACCAGAACTTGTCTTGAAGCCTTTGTTTGGTTTTCATGATGCCAGGGTGTGCCTCGTGTGCGAAAGGCACCAAGTCCGAGGTCAGCGAATCCGGCGCAACAACTTTGTCTTCCCTAAAGACTATGCTATCCACAACGGACAATTCCTCCCTAAGCTGGAAGAAAGGCATCAGCTCCTGAGTGAGCATCCTCTTTGCTGGCCATCCCTTCTCAAGGTACTTGGTCACTAGCTGTAGGGTAGGATCCTTGGCCGTTGCGACTTGCATTTGATCCTTGGTGATGCAAAATGACACCAAAGACACAACTTGTTCCTCCATCACTGGCTCTGCTGCTGCCGCCAAAGGTAATCGGGACAGCGCATCTGCAACAGCATTGTCGCTGCCTCTTTGATAGAGGATGTTCAGTTGCAGGTTCTGAATGACACAGTCCAACAAGTGACTTGCCACGCTGTACAACATGGAACAATACACACGTGAGTGTGTGTTTGTAGGACACGTCAGCTAAAAAATGGCCTTTAACTGGGAAGTGTTTCTTGGAGTAATCCAGCAGTGTCACCGTACCGTCAGTCAGCAAGCAACCAGCGAGGTGCTTGTGGAAGATATCTTCTTTCAGAAGTGGAACAGACGAGCCAGTGTCGACCAGAAACTGCAACGTCACGTTGTCAACGTTGATATCGACGTAGATCACTTTCCTTCGCATGTTGTCAGGGTTCAGGTTCAAAGTCATGACAAAGTATGTGGCCGCCGACAATTCTTTTGCTGCATGATTTTCCTGCCGACCTTCTTGCCTCCGCTTCAACTTGCATGCCGCAGCAAAATGGCCCTGCTTGTTGCAGTTGCGATAAGTTTTGTCTCTGGCCGGGCATTTCTTCGCATTCGCGCTGTGCGCAGTCGAACCGCAACGGTAGCACGACGCAGTCTGTCGGGATATCATCACCACCACCACCGCCGCCATCATCATCGCCACAGCCGCCGGGTGACCCTGGACTCTGCCCGCCGCTTATCTCGACCACGACACAGTCGATGCCTTTCCGGTGCTCGCACTCGTCGGCTTTTCGACAACTCGCTGGACGACGGGGTCTCCAGCAAGTTCCTCCAGCTCTCGCTGAGTCTGTTCAATGTGCCTGCCGAGGTCGATAGTGCATTTTATTGTCAGACTCGTTCCTTCGAAGAGAAGGCGCTCGCGTATCTACTGCAACGCTGTCCCCTCCAACAGTTGATCACGTATAGTCTGGCCAGCTGCCTCTCCAAAGTTTCAGTCCGACGACAGCTCACGCAGGGCGGCAGCGTAGGCTTTGAAGGCTTCGCCTGGCATTTGACGGCGCTGACGTAAACAATGTCTTTCCATCAGTTTGTTCGTCTTAGTCGAGAAGGGTTTGTCCAGCACGGCCAGTGCTTCGTCGAATACATTCGCTTTGGTGACTCCTTCCTTTTCTTTTTCTTTGATGGCCGGTGCCGGAGTAGTCGATGCCACACTATTGTAGGTCCGCTGTCCTTTCAGGCCCAGCGCATTCAGCAGAATAGCCTTCCTGCGTTTTAGAGCAAACTCATCGCCGCCAACAGCTTCCAAGTAGTTGAGGAAGGCTAAATTCCACTGTCGCCACGGCACGCAGGCTGGTCCCGGCGTAGCGAGGAACGGGGGTGCTGACGGGACTGTAGTTGAACATGGCGTCCGTTCACCGGCAGAGATCACAGCACGCACTAGCAGGCACGACAAGGTTCCTCAACAGATCCCATCCTCGTCGCCATTATTTGGTGTCCCGAGGACACGAAGAAAGGGCCGACCAGTCCGTTTGAACTTTATACGAAAAGTGCTTTTTTTATGTCGGTGATTGGTTGCCAGATGACGTTACGATATATACAGCGTTGCCGGCATAAAAACAGAACACAACAAAAAGCATTTGGAACAAAATGGTTAGATGTCTTTTTTGTTCCGAACACTTTTGTTCACGTGTGAACGCAATGCCAGTGCCCAACGACTTTGCCGTGACCTGTCGCAGCTATTGCTGCGACTGTATGTAAATTAATACAGGACTAGTCAATTTTTTTTGTCAACTCTGAAGCCACTTTACTTTATCTAATATTTGCTCCCATTTCCGAACATGACTGAGGCACCCCCGATTCCCCTAGGGCAATGCATACCAGATAAAAAAAATGTATAGGGGGTAGTGAAAGGTCATCATAAAAGATTGTGTTAAAAAGTACTTGTACTTTGAAAGTATGTTGTATTTATGGCACTTTACTTCAATTACAATGCACCCAATGTACTTACTACTTTACTTCGAGGACATAACCTCTAATTTTCTTTGCACTGTATTTCAAGTACTTTTAATAGATTTTAACCAACACTGGATATAGTGAGCTTGTCCTCTTTTTTTGTTCTCATTTTATTTCTTGTACATGGGTATTCTGTTGGCTCACTAGTGTGGCCCGATAAAGTTGAGAACACACCTATTTTGTAGCGAAGCTCCGTCTCGAATACCTAGCAATATCTGTTCCCCTCGCTGTATTACTTAGTTATTTCACATGAAGATCCGAAATAAGTTGTTGCACATGTCATTTTGCACGAGAGTGCATGGGCATTCAATCTATCACTGCTTGGTTTTTTTTTTTACAAACAGTCCAGTCAGTTCTTATAGCTCATTTTGGGTTATTTATTGCTTCATAGGGCATGTGGATATCACGGCCATATTTGTTCCTCAGATAATTGAAACTCTGAGTATTGTTGAGGTGCTCTTTCTACTGCTACATCTTTTAGTGTTAAATTTTGATGGGAAGGACTTGATGCAGGCTGACATAAAACTGGTAGCTACGTTTTGCCAGACCAATCAGCCGCCTCCCTCTTATCACCTGACCTGGCTCTCGAGCCGGGAGCGCGATGACGTGGCGAAAGAGAGGCGTATGACTGGTCCATCCAGGACATAGCTTCCACTGCAGTCTCAGCATAGGCGTGAACGGAGTATAGCAATCTTTAGGTGAAGTATAGAGAATGGCAATGAAATAGCAGCTCATAAAGGGGGGGAGTTTTGTACTTGAGAACAACTTTCTGTGGCATTTCTGAGGTGACAAGGAGTGTGTGTGTCCAGCTGTAAGTGGTGCTTAAGCAGGCACACTCATAACTTTGTCTGCATTGCTGCATAAGGTTGTCCCCAAGGACAGTTGTCAACACTTGTGCAGCACTTGTACTCCATTCACCCCTAAGCTGACAGTTCGGTGGGAGTTATGCTCTCGCCAGTCCAGTCAGCCATCCACCTTTCATCTCCTGACCTCGGTCTCTGCGTGCGGGTACGGGTGGAAGCATGATTGCGTGGGGAAAGAGACATACGACTGGTTTCTATGTGCACATAGCTTCCACCGCACTGTGAGCTTAAGGGTGAACACAAGCTGCCCAAGACCTGGCAGCGAGATAAGGGATTGTCACTATCTCTGTCTTGGGAGAGACTCGGGTTGGCACTGTACGCTGCACGGAACCTGTCGGGATATGCCAAGTAATGGTCTTGGTGCAGAACATTGTCTGGGGAGTGCTGGGTTCCGAGCTTTTTTCTTTGTCTCCAAATTTCAGGTGGATCCCAGCATCCTCGGAGGCATGCTGGTCAGCATAGGAGACAAATTTGTGGACATGTCCATTGCCAGTAAGGTCAAGGCCTACACTGCACTTCTCAAGCAGGCTGTCTGATGTCCTTCCTTCTTCGTGGTGAATGATGCCTGCAGGAGCCCAGGTCAGCCTGGTCACCTGGGTGATGTAGATAAAGAAAATGCAGAACACAAAATAAAACAAATTGAAACACTGACTTATTTGTTGTGTCAGCTGTTATTGGGAGTTATGGCAATGTTAAAATTGTTTTTGTTATATGTCCTCTGATTGACAAGGGGCTCAAAAGCTAAGTGTGCCTTAAAGACAAGATTGTACTTCTGCGGGTGTTTGTTTTTGGTTATTTTCCATAAAATGAGTTTGAAGAAGCACTTATTAAAAAGTAAACAATAGCAACTCTTAAAAATTTGGAGAATGGAAACATTACACTTCTTTTCTGTTCACCCGTGACGACAGTTTGACTATCATTGCTTGCAAGTGACAGTCTAGTAGCATGGCCGACATGAGACCAGCGTTGCAGGAATTGCCGGTGCCATGTTCTTCGTCAAGCTCGTAGGAAAATTATTATTTTAACTGCTTACCCTGGTAGCACGCACAATGAACTAAAAATGAAGTCTACACATCCACCATCCAGCTGTACCTTTGTGGAAAATTGCAACATACTTGAAGTAGGTGAGTAAACTTACATTATGTTCTAAGCACTAATGTTTTACCCCAAGTATTGTATACAGTGGAATGTTGTCGGCGTAAAGAGTGGTTTGTGCTGACGTAATTTTTCTGTTCGACTCTTGGAATTGCGAGGCTTTTATCAAAAACAGTAGCAGGGCGATTTCAGATAAGATCGACCAATGGGTGGCTGGTTGACATTTTTAAATCGACTGATGTTTTATATCCTATTGTCTAGCGTCTGGTATAAACGAATTCAAACTTAGTTTTGATCAGAAAAAATATTGGGACAGGAAAAATCGTAAGGCATGAAGAGGTGGACAGTTGCATTAACGTGCACTAATGGAGGGGGCACGCTTGAGAGAATAACTACAGCGATAACATTAGGAGAATTCTAATACATTTTAGACGCAAACGATGTGTACAGCTTGCTTGTAATATAAAGTAATATATATTTAAATTTTGCTAATTTTTCTAAAAATTGCCGAACATGGCTGCTCGAACGACAAATGGCAACATTTGGAGGCCTGTATCTCATGAAATAATTTAACCAATATCATAATATGTAGATAATATTGTACTTATATATGGCTATTATTTTAAAAATAAGGTATTTGAGTGGATACGATAGTCGGGATATATTTAGGCAAACATGGGAAAAAAATCAAACAACAAAACATTCCGATGCGAATAATAAAAAAAAACGCCACCTTCGATTATTTTTAAAATTTGGGTACCCTGTTGTACACTAGTTTGGCATTCATTTCTATTAAAAACATGTTGCATTATTTTATTGAGAAAGAAGAAAAGTTCCAGTTTCATGAAACTAACGCACATCTTTTGAATATTTTTATTCAGATGAGGCCATTGATAACTATAGAAATCGTTCACAAACTAAAATTGAGGAGAAACTACTGTGTACAAAAAGCTATCATATTACGAACTAGTGATCCGAGAAAAGATCCTGCAGCCATCGGCCACTGGGAACCTTGTACATGACCTCATTTCCGATGCCCTCCAGAGAAAAGGGGTAGAAGCTCCCCTCTTATCTGGATCCTCCTTTCTGCCTCTCGGATAAGCACAGACGTCGCTCTTCTCCTCCCGGAAGATTATAGAAGATTAACCTGTCACTCAAAATTCTTACAAGAGCAGCACTCCCTCTCCTCCTTTTACTTGGTGTTCAAAAGTGTGCGATGTGACGTCAGTGCAAGGAGCCCATATGCTCCTCTCTTACCCTCTATCCCCATCTCTCTCTTATATATATATATATATCCCTGACTTATATCGAGTATAAAAAACATATTCAAGCATTCCCTTTCTGCGTGATTGTGTTCTGTGGCTAGCAACAATCATTTCCTCGCGAAGATCACGATTATGGCACAATAGTTGACGGAAGTAGCAGGCGACACTCGTCGCTAGCTCTGGTGAAACGGCCGATACAATCTTTTTTCATATTTCCCCACTCGCTGTCAAGGATGAGGGGGCTCGCTTCAACCAGCAAAATATGGCCGCCGATGCCTGTTTAGTGAGCAGTCGTGCCTGTCGCCACCCCACTCGCTGGCTTCGCGGGCGATAATATCAGGCACAAAGATGCACACCGACAGAGAGCAGAACCCCAAATACTTGAGCCCCGCATAAATACAATAGAGCGTAAACACTGTCGCCATGTTAACCTAGGAAAGGTTAACATGGCGACAGTGTTTACGTTTTAGGTAAAAAAAGACAAACAAACATGGCGTGTGGTATGAGCCGGGTTCTTACATGAGGTGCACGGTGAGCCCTGAGAACCTGTTTGCTGCCCTAGACTACTTCACGAAAGACGAGCTGCAATGTTCCCGCCAAGGTCCCAACCAGAAGGACGTAATCTTTGTCATGCTCGACGGGGAGAAAACGTTAGAGGCCTTTCGTGTATCCTGATTCCGGCGTTGGGCTAACGAAGTTTCATTCCTTGCGGCCTAGATGGGTCAAATGTATTCCACACCAGGAAGTGTGCGTTTGAGTGCACTGCGCCAAATATTACCTTTGTATTGCCGCTGTAGAGAGCGTTACAGGCTCAACTTTCAACACTGGTGAAATGAACTCAGCATTTCTGTGCGACCCACTAAGAAGTCTGTGTCTTTAAGGATACTGTGATCACTGCCCAAAAGGCCAGTCTCTTACACTCGAGGAACTTCATAGCCCACAGGATGAAGAGATTGTGCTTGCAACATTGGAATCCGACGACCTTGTAAACAAAAAAAAAAAAAAAAAAAAGAAGGAAGGATTTTGAGTCTTTTTTAAAAGTCGTTCAAGTAACGGTTGAAAGTTGGATATTTTACAACCATATCCGACACACGCAAGATAAAGCGATCTATCTATGATGAAAAAAGCAGCTGCATGCAACGCGAGTGCATTGTCTTTAATTTTGACTTTGCTGAAAACTGGACCATCGTGCTTCCTGACAAAGTTAAAGCATACCACTGAAGAAACAAAAGCTACGCTATTTACATGTGTAGTGACGACAAGAATATCTACAACCAGCTTGCTATCATCAGTGAGGACCTGTGTGACGACGTCGCACTCACGAGCTTGGCTCTAGAAAAAGTGAAAAAGTGGGTTGAAGACAACGTTGCGGCTCGTGACGTACGTAAGTGACGGGGCCGCCAGTCATTTTAAGAATCGCTACCAGCTTCACCAGTCCGCACTGAATGATTGATTGCCCACAAGCCCAGTGGTTATTTTCTGCATCTGGACACGGAAAAATGCATGGGACGGAGTTGGCGGACTCGTGAAGCACCAGGCCCCGTTGAACAACCTGAGGGAGCGTTTAATAAACACAATTCAGACGGCTAGGACAATGGTGAGCGTTCTATTTGGTAAACCGGGTGCATCTTGCGTATCTGAACGAAAATGAGCTTGTTCAATATCGTCAAAAAAAAAAAAAAAAAGAGAGTGGCTGACGGTGCGCGCCTTTCCTGGCATTCAGTCTTGGCACGCGTGGCGGCTGTGCAAGTTATCGACAAAAGGAACCTGTGACACATATGTAGCACGGACAGTCGGATCTGGTTAGAAGAAACTTTATTAAATGGGTACATAGAGGAAAACCTTAGTGTAAGGTGCCGAATTTGATGCCCCAGGGACTGCTTATTTTGAATGCAGGGACATCTTATTTATCACAGTTTTCTTCGCGGGGTATTTAACCTACTACTTTACTTGGTGATAGCTTACAATCTTTATCTGATCACCATACCAGAATCGCGAAACGTTACCCTCGCGCAGGATAAAATATCTCGGCTTGCCACGATCCATTCGTTCACCGCAAGTATCGAAGCTCTTACAGTCCGGCGCGGTGGCACCGCTCACCTGAAATTGTTTGTCCCCGAAAATACGTAACTAACCTAAACAATTTTAGTATTCTATCTTTATTTTTGTGTGTGAAAGTGAAGTTGTTTCTTTTATTTGAAATATAAAATATACCCGAAATTGAAACTTCACACTCCATCATCTTTTTTTTTTTTTTTTTTTTCGAATCACTAGTCTTTAATATGCCTCTTTGTACGCTGTATGTAAAATGCTGTATATAGTTTCTCCTCACTTTTAGTGTGTGGCCGATTGCTCTAGTTGTCAGTGACCTCATCTGAATAAAAATGTGTGAAAGATGTGTGTTAGTTTCCTGAAACTGGAACTCAGAGTCACTTCTTGTATAGGGCGATGCTAGGTGTAGGCTTTAAAAACAAACCCTACTTTGGGGAGTTGTGTCTTCTTTCTCAATAAAATAATGCAACATGTTTTTAATAGAAATGAATGCCGAAATAGAATATGACAAGGTACCCAAATAAAAAAAAAATTGAAGGTGGTATAGAAAAAACACGAAAAAAAACAACATCAAACAACGAAAATTTCCGATGCAAATAAAAAAAAATTGCATCGAAAATTTTCGTTGTTTGATTTTTTTTCCATGTTTGCCTAAATATGTCCCGTCTATCGTATCACTCAGATACCTTATTTTTTTAAATAATAGCTATATATAAGTAGAATACTACTTGCAAATTATATGATAATGATTAATTTATTTCATGAGATACAGGCCTCCGAATTTTGCCATTTGTTGTTCGAGCAGGCATGTTTGGTAATTTGTAGAAAAATAATTAAAACGTAAATAAATATTATTACTTTATATTACAAGCAAGCTGTACCCAGAGTTTGTTTTTAAAAAGTATTAGACTTCTTCTAACTCTATCCTTTTAGTTATTCACTTCCAAACGTGCCCCCTCCATCAGTGCGTGTTAGTGCAACTGTCCAACTCTTCATGCCTTACGATTTTTCCTGCCCCCAAATTTTTTTTCTGGTCAAAACTACCCTAAATGTAAATTAGTTTGTACCAGACACTAGAAAATGGCATATAAAAAATATCAGTTGATTTAAAAATGTCGACCAGCCACCCTTTGGTCGATCTTATTTGAAATCACCCAGCATCACGTGAAGAGCTTGTTCAGGGAACCAACCTAAGGGGTAAACTTTTGTGCTCCTTTATTTCCTGTATGAGTGAAAAGC